ATTGCATGGGGAATCCTATATATTTATAATGTACAAAATTCTTTCTCTCAAAATTTCTATTTCATGATGTAATAGTTGATGTATCAAAGTCTTTGTAATTAATAAAAAAGGCTATGACTAAGTTTTAGTGTGATCTTTCGGTTGTCATTTTGTAACATACTATCCACACAAAAATAAATTCACTTTCTTTAATGAATAAAATAAATAAAATCAATTAACGTTGAGTTGAGTCAAATGTATTTGGGTGTATGGATGTTACATTATTCACAATTAGAAATTGTAGTTGGTATAAACACTACAAGAAAAATGATAAATTGCGACGGACAAATTGTGACGGTTATCTAGAAACCGTCGTCGCTTTGATATTGCGACCCTTCATACGACAGTTTTTCAAATCGTCGCAAAATTGTTCAACATTGCGATGGTTTATTGTAAACCGTCGCAAAATTTGTTTAACATTGTGACGGTTTATCATAAACTCGCAAAATTTGTTTAATATTGCGACGGTTTACGATAAACCGTCGCAAGTTTAACATTGCGACAGTTAATCATAAACCGTCGCAAATTTAACATTGCGACAGTTAGTCATAAACCGTCGCAAAATTTTCAGCATTTTTTTTTATTAGAATTTAAAAGTTTTTTTTTTTGAAGTATTATGTATATTATCTTAATGAACTTATATTTTATTAACAATTTTATATATACTTTCTTTAACATGAGGTACACGATTTTTTTTCTTTATATAATTTCAAAATCGTGACTAGAATATAAATTTATCTTTCAACAAACTTATGAATTTATCTTGTATGTAAGATGTGTTAGAGTATATAAATAAGTATAATTATCATTTTATAACTTAATTTTTGAGTTATCACATCACATATTATTGAATAATTTACAATGTTAAATTTTATAAATTTTATTTTAAATGTCCATCTTTTTAACACTATTAAAAATATAAAAATAAATATGTTAAATTTTATAAAAATCCAGTTTAATTTATTTATGATATAAATATGTTTTTAATATCTAATATATATTTTTAGATGATAATTTATTTTAAAATATATCTTATAATAACAATTCTAAATGGAACATAAATCTTCTGATTTTTCTTATTTTGATTTTTTTAATCAATATATACAATTTTACTATTTTGATTTTTTCAATCAACGTATACAATAAATAAAAAACACAAAAGATAAACATGCATGGTAAAAATTTTATTTTATCAAAAAACTTTTTATTTTAATATATTACATTATATATGTGAATATTAAGACATATATATATATATATACATATATATATTATAATTAAACTTTTTTTAAAAATTAATTCATTATTAAGAAATTTTATTTATTACATGAGAATTAATTTCTTTCAAAAATTTGACAGATATAAAATAAATAAACATTTTTTCTGAATCTATATTTTTATTTTATTAGAATATAATTTTTATTTTTTAAAATATATTATTTTTTTAGATAAAAAATTATGTATATGTCAAATAGTAGTGGGGCAAGTGCCCACTATTCCAAACGTACATCCGTCCCTGTATATATATATATATATATATATATAATATTGGGGGTTATAATTATACCAATGTAACTTTTATTAAGTATTATGCTGCTCAATAACTTTATATTGGGGATTTTAAACTTCCATAATTATTCGGTTAACCAATTAAAAAAATGTAAATTTAATTAAATATTAGTGACACCAAATCGTGATAATTAAAAAAATAATTAATAATTAAATTTTTAGCTTTTTACTTCTTTCTACTCAATTTTTATTCTATTTCTCTTAAATCAAACAACCAAATTTTCACTATATTGCTCACTTATTTTCACACACCTATTTCTCTCCTTTTTATTTTTCTCCACTCTTTTTCTCACTTATTTCTTTCTTCCCTACCAAACACACTATTAACACATAGACTTATTTCATAAATATATTTATAATTATATTAGGATAAATACATAATTTATTCCCCTATTAATTACTACTATAGTCAAATTCTAGGATTATTTTTGTAACCAAAATTGAAAGTCCAACTTCAATAAAATTTATAGATATATTAATGAAAAGAAATAAATATATAAAATATCATATTAATGCTAAACCATAAATGCGTACTAAATAATAAATAATAATTAATGTCTCCAATTTAATACCATGTGATTGAAAATCTAAAAATAATATCATTGTCACACCTTTCACATTTACAACACATCACCACACAACTACACTCTTATTAAAAATTTAAAACGAAGCAAAACACTCTCATATCGACCAACAAGGAAAACACTCTCACATCAACCATCAAGAAAGGAGAAGTAGTGAGCTCACAAGAGAAAGGAAGAGGCAAGATCTTAGGGCTTTGTTTTGTAACCCTCCATTCTTGGCATCAACGAGGTGATTTCTCACTTTAGGAGGAATAGCATGTGGGTTTTGGGTCTAGGAATTCCAAAAGCCACTAGAGCTTTGGGAGGATTTCTATTGATTTCTCAAATGGATACAACAAATGTTGATTATTTACTCCTATGATGACGCGTCTTGCCTAATTATTGACGTTAATTTTAGTGATTCTATGCGGTATGAAGCTCAATTTTTTGGGTTAGAACTTGACTTAGGTCCAATATTGATTGAGGTTTTTGAAAAATTTTGAAGGTTATTTGGCCATTCATTAGTTACTTTGCCAATTACTATTCAGAAAATTTTTCCTGTAATGCAATTTTTTTCCTAAATTAAAAGATTGGCTTTGAGTTTTTAGATGCGACTAATTTTAGTGGATTTGTGTGTAGGTTAGCTACCTCCAATTAAATAACTAATTTTTTAAGGGCATTTGACATTTTTTTTCATTGTTTTTGCTAATTACTATTAATATTGTTGAAAATTTTCTTGCGTGTGTTCATCCAAATTTTCATTGATATTATTTTTAAATTGAAAAAGTAGAGATGAAATATTTTAAAAGTATGTTTTGGAAAAATTTAAAGGGTCTCATAAAGGATTTAATATGGATTTTTAGCTATTGGATTATCTAGTTAATTACTTGCATTTAGTTGAATGGATAGTTTGTGCATGGTTGACTCTTTGTCACCTTTATACAATGGATTCATAACTTATATATAATCTTCTATTTCATAAATTTTGACCCTTGTTATTCCTTGTATCTTATCTGAAAAGGAGTATTTGACAAGCCTAACAATTTAATATTAATGCATAATGATGAATGATTTACTAATCTCAATTAATATCTTCTATATCTTATTTTATGGATTCACAGAGATATCTCACCCTTTCTTTTATTTATTTTTATTTTATTTTCAATTAAGAAAATCTAAAGCAATGAGTTGGAAATCTTTCATGAGTTTAACTTCCTCTTAGGCTTTCGATATGATACTAGTTGCACGTGAATTTTTGTATAAGGGGATAATTAACTCACATGTATAAGACCCCATTTTAGTATTTTGTATTTTGGAGACAAGATGTAATGTAATATACTAATTAATGTATTTTGGCTCTCTTATACTTTTTACATTACTCATCTTTGATATCATGTGCAAATGGTCTTAACTAAAATTGGAGTATTGATAGAATAAGTACCAGCCACATCTCACATTATAGTACATGTCTTGTTAAGAAACTTCTTTTTCTTGTTTATGTATATGAGAATAATCCCGTACTTGACATCTCATCGAGAACCACATTTGTTATAACGTTGTTAGAACTTATTCTCTCTTCCTTGTGTTAGAACAAATAGTTTTCACTTGATCAACAAAAAAATGGCTTCCAATGAGCAACGACTTAATGAGGTGGTAATGGCACAACCAATAAATGTTGTCAAGGATCCGGTTATCCTTAAACGACTTGAAAATGCATTTTTAGAACAACTAAAGGTAAGTGAATCTAATTTTCCTACCAAGTATCATCCATACTCTATATCATTGTTTTATTGTTTCACAAAATAACCAAAATTCCTCACTTGATACTTGCAAAGTCCTTCAATTTTACCTTCCTAGTAAATTTCTTAAGTATTTTATAATTTATACTTGGGAACAGGAAGCCAAAAGGAGAGCCGTACAAGATCTTCTACCCAATGAGCAAGCATTAGTAGAGTTTGCAGTCCCTGTGCCTGAGACATTGGCAACAATGAATGATAACTTTCATGAAACACTTAGTAAAGTAAAGTTTATTATTTTCAAATTTCAAATAAGACTTTTGTATTTTAAAAATTTGGTACATCAACCATTATGATCAAATTTTAGTAGGAGGGTTTCTCTTTTTTTTTTCTTGCCCTAAAACTATATAAGGCTTTACTTAAATGGTGACTTGTATGATGGTCTTGGTCACATGCAGTCTCAACGCAAAAAGGGAAGAAAGAAAACAAGTAAGATTCTCTTTGAAGTACATTTTTCTTTTCAACCTCCGACATTCTGTTTGGAAGAAAATATTGACTTGGAGAAGGTAGCTAATTAACTTTTAATTACTGCATTACCTATTAATTATTTTTACTTCATTGTTGTGTTTGTTTTCTTGTTCCATGAAGGACAATAGTGATATATATATATATATATATATATATATATATATATATATATATCGTTT